GCGAACGAGCCGAACATGAGTTGTTCGCGAACAACGAGCCGTTTTGACAGCCTTAGCACCAATGTCTTTTGTTGCAATAACCTTTTAGGGAGAAGCCGACTATGGAGTTTATGAGAACAGCGAGCTAATTATGGGGCGTGCCAGACTTATGGAAGAAGAAAAATTAATATGGGTAGAGGAAGAGAAAGTCACCTCAGCGTCATGGGGTAATGAACTTTGTTTAAGGGAATTGGGGAGGAGACTCGAGCATAAGGAAAATGAAAATTATGATCTTTAAAGGAGAGGATGTCTATAAATGGATTTATCCCGTGGAGAGATATTTTATCGTTGATGGGTTGACAGAGGAAGAGAAATTGATGGTGGCGCCCTGTGCTTGGAAGGGAATGCTCTAGCGTGGTATAAACGGAGAGAATAAAATTAACTAATTAGGGAAGAATTAAAGGTTCGATTGTTGGAACATTTCAAAACCCCTCGGATAGGGGAATTACACGAGGCATTGGTCCAGGAGGGTCTGTCAAGAATTTTTAGGCTTTTATTGGAGCTCTCTCTCTAATTTCCGGAGCACTGTCTTGGGTTCTCATGAGAGATCTTCTCTATTTCCTCTCTCTTAGAAAGAAGATTTGAATCTCTTTTCCTGATCGGTTTTGGTTCTTCATTTCGATTTTTTTAGGGGCTTAGCCCCCCTGTGTTTTTCTTTTATTTTTTTTTTTCTTTTTATTTTGATGGATCAGGGTGCTTTTCCCCCTCTTTCTTCTTCTTCCTCCCCTTCTCGACCTTTTCTAGGTCATGGATCTTCTTTAAAGTTAAAAAGTCTTATTTCCTCTCATATTTCTACCATTAACATCAATCTTTATTATATTCCATGTCATGATGAAATAATCTCCTTCTCAGATCTTGAGGTTGAGGAAGGTTCAAAGAAGTGGAGCCTCACTCTGGTTGGCCATGCACTTGGTAAGAGAGCATTTTATAATTATTTGTTGCAAGCTATATGTAAGTTATGGAAACTTAAAGGTTCAGTTGATTTAATTTCTCTTACCGAAGGGTTTTCTCTCTTTCAATTTGTTTGTTTAGAAGATTATGACATGGTTCTAGCGGGTGGTCCATGTTTCATTGGGGAAATTTTTTTTCTCTTTAAGAAATGGACTCCTGAATTCAAGCCAATTCGTGAAGGTTTAAAAAAAATCCTATTTGGTTAAAACTCCTTAATCTCAATTTATTTTGCTAGACAGAATTTGGTATTTCCAAAATTGTAAGTCGTACAAGAATACCTTCAGCGTGGATCCTTTAACAACAGAAAAATACTAGATTAACCTATGCTAGAGCGAATATAAAAGTTAATATTGGCACTTTTTTTCCTAATAATATATCATAATTATGAAAGATTGAGAAATTGTTCATATTTGAATGGAAGTTTTCACCATGCAAAACTTAATCTACTTTTTCTCATAATTTGTTGAATCGTCATAAATTTGGTACTCAACCAGTTAGAAGACCTATTCCTGCCTTTTGGGGAAGAAATTTAATAGAATTTTCATTTCTGCTGGAACACAAATGGCTAGAAGTAAGTATGCTATAATTGATAGATCTACTCATAATTTGAATAGGAATCAAAATCCAACTCGGGAGAATCTGGATTTGGCAAGAATCTATGGATGAAGTTGGTTTTACTGAAAATGATTACAATGTTCTTAATAATGAAAGTTTCATTGATGCTTTTGATTTAAACATACCCTTGATGATGGTTTGATTAATTCTGGAATTCTGGAGAGTTCTAATTTGGCTCTTGTTTTACATACTCCAAGTAAAATGGTTGTTTCTTCTGATATCATTAATAATGATCGGTTATTAGCAGTGAATCATAATGTCAATAATGCTTTTAACTAAAAGTAATCCTAAATGCTCTTGGGGTTGATTGTCAAGTACGGGTGTCGGTCGACTTTTTTTTATTTTGAAAAAAATTTAAAATTTAATTTAATATAAAAGGTATATAATTTTTTTTTTAAATAACCTGTTTTATTTCTTTTAGAAAATGGGACTGAATGGATTTCATTAGTCCAATAATTTGTATAATCGTGTCTGATACCGCAAATAATACACATTTCTGAAAGATGAATGTATATCTCGGCAATAGATTCAATCCTACAAACTAAGAGATTTGTGACATCTGTTTGGTCTGCGAACCTTTTATATGTGACAGACAAGTTCCCCTACCTAATATAAAGATTAGTAGGGTTTAG